GAGAGAGAGAGAGAGAGAGAGAGAGAGAGAGAGAGGAGAGAGAGAGAGAGAGGAGAGAGAGAGAAAGAAAGAGGAGAGAGAGAAAGAGAGAAAGAAAGACAAGAGAGAGAGAAAGAGAAAGAGAGAAAGAAAGAGAAAGAAAAGAGAGAGAGAGAGAAAGAAAAGAGAGAGAGAGAGAAAGAAAAGAGAGAGAGAGAGAGAGAGAGAGAGAGAGAGAGAGAGAGAGAGAGAGAAAAGAGGGGGGTGTCAGAGTAGAGGCTGAAAGTATAGATGTTTACATGCGCGGGGAGGTTGCATTTTTATCGCAGCGGGCGCGTTACAAGACTTCGGGGGCTAAAAGGCGGCCACGGGCGCCTTGGCGCGCATCCCAGAAACGCGGAGGGCGCTTTGGGAGAAAAACGCAGAGCACTTAAATCTACGGCTTTCACCTCCGTGCAGGATTTGTGCCAGGGAGCGTGAAATGCTCGCCTTTTGGGTTAAACTCCTGTTGGAGAGAGCCAAAGAGGCGCTTGACTGGGAAAAAAAACAGGAGTAGGGATCCTGAGATGCTCAGATGCCCCCCCCCCTACGCTTGTTAATAACACCGGTCAGATGCCCGGAGTGTAGGATGAACTACTAACCAGATCAATAAAACCCACCCTGCGGTGGTGTCACCAGGCTGGAGGCCCAGATCCGGAAGACCACGATCCTAAAAGTTCTGGGCTTGTACTTAACTTTTTTTTAGGGGATTCGGGAAGATGGGAATAAAGTCACCAGCATTGGGGATGAACCCAGGCAGTCTAGGAAATAATAACAACAATCTCATTGGGGATTAATTAGTAAAAGGTGCTGGGTGCTCTCTGGGCTTGGTGCGTTTCTTGCAGACGTTTCGTTACCCCAACTAGGTAACCGTGAATTGCTTGCTTGTTCTCACCATGCAGAAACCTCCGGGTTGAATTTGCGCTGATTCTTCTCCCCCCCCCCCCCACCGCCCCCCCCCCCGGTGCGAAATATTCTGGGTTAGAAGGAGGTCTTTGCAAACCTTGGTAGTAGCTAAGGGCCGCTTTTCTTGGCAAACTGCAGCCGTTCTTCTTTGACCTCTCTCTTCTGACACGGCTCCCAGATCGCTGCACTTGTTCCCTTCGCATTCCTGCTGAAAAGCCAAAGGCTGAAATCCTCTCTTCTTGAACAGACCCGAGAGAAGCCAGAGGTTGCCCAAAAGAACAGCCGGCTTTGACCGGGGGATGCTGCGTAACTCAGCATCCATCCGCCAGGCTCCATCTCAGAGCAGTAATTTTCCTAGCAAGGGTTCTCCCTCCCAGGGGCCTCTATTCTAGAAACAAAGAATAAGCAGGGGGTTGGACTAGAAGACCTCCAAGGTCCCTTCCAACTCTGTTATTCTGTTCTATTCTATTCTATTCTATTCTATTCTACTCTACTCTACTCTACTCTACTCTACTCTACTCTACTCTATTCTCTATTCTATTCTATTCTACATTCTATTCTATTCTACTCTATTCTACATTCTATTCTATTCTATTCTATTCTCTATTCTATTCTATTCTACATTCGGTTCTATTATGTTCTACATTCTATTCTATTCTATTCTACTCTATTCTACATTCTATTCTATTCTATTCTCTATTCTATTCTATTCTACATTCTGTTCTATTCTACTCTATTCTACATTCTATTCTATTCTCTATTCTATTCTATTCTATTCTACATTCTGTTCTATTATGTTCTACATTCTGTTCTATTCTATTCTACATTCTGTTCTATTCTATTCTATTCTACTCTATTCTACTCTATTCTACATTCTATTCTACTCTACTCTACTCTATTCTATTATGTTCTACATTCTATTCCTATTCTATTCTATTCTACATTCTATTCTATTCTATTCTCTATTCTATTCTATTCTATTCTATTCTATTCTACATTCCATTCTATTCTATTCTATTCTACTCTATTCTACATTCTATTCTATTCTCTATTCTATTCTACATTCTGTTCTATTATGTTCTACATTCTATTCTATTCTATTCTACTCTATTCTACATTCTATTCTACTCTACTCTACTCTACTCTATTCTATTATGTTCTACATTCTATTCTATTCTACTCTACTATACTCTCTATTCTATTCTACATTCTATTCTATTCTATTCAGTTAAAGGAAATTGGGTAAATTGTAGAAGAAAAAGCGAGGCAAGCCCACGAACTTGGAAACGCAGAAGGTATCTTACAGAGCTGCAGAACTCCTTAGCCTACAAAGTCCTTGAGCAGGAGCGAGAGGGGAAAGCAGAGCGAAGGAATAGAGAGCCAGTTCTTGGAGGAGGAGGAGGAGGAGGAGGAGGAGGACCAGGTTTTCTGTTGAAATTACATAGATCAAGATGTCAAGAGTGGCCACTGCTTAGCGATGGTTGGTTAACCAGCCCCCCTTTGGGGACAGGCAGTTTAGGCCCAAGACCGTGGGGAAGATGTTTTCAGGGTTGTGTACATGAGCATGAATTATAAC